ATATATATATATATATATATATATATATATATATATATATATATATATATATTAAGGAGGATACTTGAAAGCAAAATAACACAAAGGAATGAAAGACAATGAAAGATAATGGAGAAATGACAAAGGCGGGTTGTAGGGCACATATTGAGACAGGAGAGAATATGATAAAGAATAACATTGAAAATAAAACTGATCTCCATTCCACTATTTTTTTTCTATATTCACACAATACTTGGAAAATGATGAAATTATGAATTGAATTTTCTAAACTTTAAATAAGGAAATTCCCCATTAAAACATGTTTACACTTTAGTTGATATTTATGTGATTCTTTAATTTGAATGTCTACAGGGAGCAGGAACTAAAAAACAAGTTTGCCACTCTCTATTCTCAAAGCACCACTGCATATTAAAGTGTTTAAGAGTGTTCAATGAAAGTGTTTGAGGGTGTCTTAGTAGACATAGTGAATAATTTTTGAGAACCATGTCTACAGACAAATCAGAAGCTAGCTTTAAAAGGGGATGTCTTGTGTTTTTTGATGCAGATAAGAACAGACTTTCTCTGTTAGACACTTGGAAAACTGCTTTATGCCCCAATCTCTATGTTCACTGTTTTAGCAAACATACCTGCAACTGCATGGAGATGCTCACGCTTGTGTATCTCAGAATTAATATATCTCCTGAGTTCATTGTCACTTGGTCAACAGGACATAATTTATGCAATGGTGTTGGTGCAATGCTAAAAGGGCATAATTTCTCAGTGCTAACCCCTTTGTGCTCCCTCACTTCTTACTCTCCCTGCCAGCAGCTCTACCCAAGGCATGATTTATCAGACCCTCAAGCTGCAGACAACGGCACCCTGGCACGTGTGCAGTGCCAGAGATAGATTAATAGATTAACACAGTTATCTGAGGGCCAAACATAAGTGGGGTCAACATCATAATGTCTCAGTGTAGGACATGACTGAGATCAGGATAATATGTGCTTAGCAGCATCGGGATGTGCTACATATTGTGCCATGGCCGAGTCATTGGCGTCCTGGGTGACAGTGTTTGAAGCATTTTAAATGGCTGTATATGGTTTAATAATTAAGATCTTCTTGATTCTAATTATTCTTTATTTTAAATATTTAATAGCATGAAAATAACAAAGGTACAGAAAACAGAGGTTGCCTGGGAAAGTAGCCCAAACATCCAACACCCAATTTAACCCTATTTGTTATATGCGCAAAGAGAGAAATCAAATGAACTGAACCACTGAATTTGTAATGCTGTAATGGAGAGTAAAATTATGGTAATTTGGCTCAGTGTTCGGCTGCACTGTTTAAGGGGTGAGCAGATTTAAACAGGCGGTGGATGGCGAACATCTCATTGTGACTGGCGGGATTATGAACCCACTGAAGAACATTATGTTGGTAACTCCCCCCTAGTGCGGCAGGGCTCATTAGAGAAACATCGGTGAAAATCACAACCAGCATACTTCAGAGAAACATCTATTTTATCAGAATCACAAGGAATAAAATGTGCACTGTTTTGTTTTTTTCTGAGAAAAATGATAGTCCAATTAAGGTTGTTTTGAAAATGCAAATAACATAGATCTAGTTCTTCAGTATAAGAAAGAAAAAATAGCTTCCAAAGCATAGAAAATATCCTCTATAGTGCCTTTTGTTTTTTAATGAGAACATTTGTTTTACATTTCCACTGTGTTGGCATTAAAAAAAAAAAAAAAATCCTGTTTGCATTTTGTTGTAGTATACTCACCGCACTGCTGCAAGGAATATCTTTGACTTTCAGCCAGGCCAGATCCAATGTCCCCTCTCCTTTGTAGCAGGACTGCAACCTTTCCTTGATTTTCTCATTGATCTTTCGAAGTGAAAAAACACACAGAGCAGAGTCCTGGGAGGCTTGCCTTGGACGCCTCTTTTGACCTTTTGAGAAGATGGCAAAAAGCACATCGTCATCTGGGGCCACGTCCAGTGAAGGTGCAAGTATAGAACCGGCTTTTGATAAGTAGGCTGCTTCAAGTAATCTGTACTCCACGTTTCCACTTATGCACCCGATAGGGACCTCAACATACGAGTTAAATGCAGTGTCTGCCTTGCAGAGGCGAACAATCTTGGATGTGTAAACTTGCTCCCGGCCAGCTGAAGAGGACCCTGTGGTGGGTCCGCCTCCCATTTCAGGTTGCAAAGTTAAGAAGTAGACAAAGTTCCCACTGGCAAAGCCATAAATGTAATATATGTCAAAGTCAGGTATAACGGTGAATGTATCCGAAGGGATCTTAATCATAGAGGCCACAAACTCATCATGGAAGACGTAGGCAAACATGCCATCCTCCTCTGAGTTTCTGGCCAGCTTTCTGCTAGAGATGGTCGGGAAGTACTCTGGTTTACCATCAACTGCTGTGGCTACAAACAACATGTCTGGAGAAGCATTGCCATAGGAAACAATGACACCGAAAACGGAGCCACTCTCATTGACACCAGAGAGGTAGTGCTCTTTCTTGTGGAAGGGCTCTCCCAGTTTGAACAGGTCATCTAGACGGAGGAGTTTGCAGATGCCCTGGTATAGGCTTCCACAAGCTAGCAACCGGTTCTCCCTATAGTCCATTAAAAGCATCTTGTTCACATTGTTGGTAAGAGTCAGTTGCTCACTGCAAGGCTGAACAATGCGAGGTGGGTAGCACTTGCGGTTGTCTTCATCTGGACCAGTCTCATGGGACACTTGGACCTCCAAACTTGGAGACAATTTGTATATGCGATTGACTGCTCCCAAATAAACATTGCCATTGCGATAGTCCACAGCAAGATGGTTAAATGTCCACTCTGGGTTTTCAGCATAAAATGAGGCATACCCGTCCTCTTGGAGCAAGGCTGTGATTACTTGAGATCCGGCACTGTGGGCCTGTGGGGCTTGCACCACCGTCTGTGATGCCGAAGGAAGCACCAAACTAAAAAGGAAGCAGCATAAGAAAAAATAGGTCCGTGTTCTTCTGTGGGATGCCATGGCTGTGCTGATGGTTGGGCAGGTAAGGAGAAGGACAGAGGCACAGTCCAGCACTGTTGCAGGATCAAGCTTGTTCTGAGACGGAGAACATTATGCACCTGCAGGAAGGGAGAGAGAAAGAAAAAAAAAAGTGAAAACCGGCACATGAACTCCTATCACCAACAAATTACTTTCAAATAAAGTGGACCGTGCTCTAGTTTTATCTGGCACAGATTAAAACAGAGCAAATTAATGTTTTAGACAGGTGTTCATACCATGCATCTGAGACCCTTGAACAATCTATATTTGGAGAAGTAGTGGGCTACAAAAAAAAAAAAAATCTAAAATAAAATGAGATTGAGATAAAGCAATCACATTAATTAATTTCAAAATCAAAGCGTCAAATTGTTTTTATGGAGACTTTAGAACTGCCGAATGTCAAGTAAAGATTGAATAAAACAAACTTTGAGATCAGGTACAGCAAATGGGAAAGAGAAAAAGGAGTCAGGCTTTATCTCAAGGGAGATGATCAGCATGGCTTTCACCACCTCTCTGCATGGACCCCTGCCCCTCTCCATCTCTATTTGCTTTCTGCTCCAGCCTCTACGCCCCTAATTGATTCTCCCCTTGGAATAAAAATCTGCATGCTTTGACGACTTCTCTCTTCTCTCCCAATGGGGCAGCTTACCTGCTGACACTGCTAGCAAAGAGAACAGGAAAATCTTTTGCTCTTTAAATTTCCTGCATTCACGTATCCAAACACAAGAAGGGGTGTTTATAGGCCAGAGAGCAACAAAAAGGTTGAAAGTGCTAGCAGCTGCAAAAAAATAAAAATAAAAAATGCTTTCCTTTGGACTTAAAGTTATTTGCACATTCTCCACATAAAAATACAACTGTAAAGCACGCTACTGAAAAATAATGTTAAAGGCATAGAACTGCATATGATCGATGTATTCAGCAGTCAATACGATGACTTTGCTAGCCAAATGGGGTGTAAACAACAGTTACTTCACACCAAATGATTGGATTAGCATATCAATCAATCTCAATCTCTTTACAAATGAATATTGAGAAGAATAATTTTTTAATAATTTGAAAACAATCAAAACTACATGAGAGCTTTCCATCTTCATTTCTAAGTATCTAGAGCCTTTTAGAAACTGAACTTCAGGATTTCCCCATGAAACAGACCACATTTTGGTTTTACATATAAATGTCCATCAGACATGATGGTGGAAAACGCAGCCTCTTAAAAAGAAGTGACCCTTCATGAAGGCAAACCAAGAGCAATGAAAAACAGCCCGTGAGCTGATGATGAGAGGGATGGAGACTGATTCCGAGACAGGTCGCGCATATTTAGCTGTGTGTGCATAGAGGCATCATTAGCATAGCAGAAACAAAGGCATAAGATTGCATGGTGAGAAAGGGAAGAGATCAAAACAGAGTAAAATATGAAATAATTCTGCAAAAACATAGTATAGGTTAATGAGAATTCATTCAAGACTCAGAGTGGACGGATTCATCTACTAATTAAAGTCAAGTTTTAGGGCAGACCTAATGTATAAAAGCAAATGATTGTGTTTAAAGTTGAGGTGAATGTTGGTTTAGGAGATGACATTTTACTCAAATTGACTCAGGTTCTGACTAATGCAGGCTCTGGCTTCCAAGTGATTAACTCTTTGTAAACAGTTATTGGAAGAACGGTATGGACTGGCCAGAAGGTATCAAAATTAGCTTTAGGAAGTAGTGTTTCATCTCTGAAAAGGGTCTGTCTCATATATTCTACCACTTTCACACTGCCAGTCAGCTGGACCAATGGCATCAATCGCACTTTTTTATATATAATAATAGCATTTTTGTCACACCTTATCTATTGTATAGAAGGTGGACTTAAGGTGTGGCAATTAGTCCTTTCTTATGGGAACATTTAAGCATGTATAGTAGGCTGAACAGACTGTCCCTAAACTGAACAATTTGCCCACCTGAGTTATGGTTACTTGCAGCTCCTGTAGAGTCACCTTGAGCATCACATGGTTGCTCCCCAAGAAATAATCTTTTGTTCAACCTTACTGCTTAGGTGATTTCTGAAGCAGTTCATTCCACTGGATTCTAGTAAGAAGTATTTGAATAAAATTGAGTAATTTTGTGCTTCTTAGGGTTCTTACAAAATTCCGCCAAAATAATACTGTAAAAATCAGAATTTGTATCTACTGCAAAATAATGGAAACAAAGGATTCCACAGAGTGTTCACCCACTGAAATAAAATGTGATATAAAGGCAACTGAAACAGAGAGAAAGATGTTTACACAGAAGTCCTGAGGAAAGCTGCTGCCACTTCAAGACTAATGATAGGGCACTGAGCCCATAAGGCACCTCTAAAAATAAAAAAAGGGAGACGAATATTAATTTCACACCGAGAAGAGCAACGGTCAAGCAAATCCCAGCCAATTTCTTTTCCTACAATTTAAGCTAAACACCAAATAAAAATTAAGCAAATTGCAAAAGCAACCGAGACTGAGGAGTAAAAAGACTAAAAGGGAATCAAGTGTGAGGAATGATGAAGGGAGAGAAAGAGCTTGGTAATCCTTTTTTTTTCCCTCTCTTGTGTATAAACACAAATGCATTCATACTCAGCTTACAGCCACAAACTAAACAAAACGCTATTAGAAAAAAACAAGACAAAAGCTTCATGCAGCGTCCCTTGAGAAATGCAAGTTTGGCAGTTGTAATGCATTAGCGCTCTAAAAACACCTCATCAGTGATGCCTCTGTAAAGGCAGCATGTCTGCCACATAAATTTGTTGCTGAAACGCAATTATCCTCACTGATAGTGGATGGGGTGGGGGTGTTTAACTGCTGTTTGCTTTTGCCTGCTAATCATCAAACTCCATTAATTAAAGCTCACCCTGGTTCTGCGGGTTTATCCAATAGGCATAAGTGTTCACACGGAAATAATAAATAGGGGCTCATAAGCTAGATAATCTTAAGCATAGTTGATCTGTGATTCTGTCTGACGTGTGTGCTCAACTTTTTCACACCCTTTTCAGCATTACTTTTGAATTTAGATGTGACACTAAGGATAGCTTAAAGGTATAGTGGAGGATGTTCTTTTTCTGGGTGGATCATCAAAATAAGTGGTCCTACTAATTGTCAATCATTCTGGTGATATGTCTAATAGAGTGGAAAAATTGCAAATCTTTTTTTAGAAAGTAAGCTTGGAGGAGTGATGAAAAAACAGAGTGTGCACAAAGAGAAATGGGCTTGTGCACACTCTTGCACGCGTTTAATAGGTGTTTCCTCTTGGCAGCGGGTACAGGGTTGTGCATGTGCATTTTTGTTTTAAAGCAGAGAAATAAAACAATTTGCAAAAATCCTGCACTATACCTTTAAAACAAATGCAATTTGACAGAATAACCTCTGTCACAATACCAAAATAATAGCTCTGGTTTGCTTTTACACAGGTAAAAAATCAGAAATCAACAAAGAAAATAAAGCTAATGTGATGCCAGTCATGATAAGCCCATAAGTTCAATGATTGTGGTATGTAAGATAGAATAACCCAAACTCTTGGTTATTCAGATATAAATCATGGTTAGTGTTATGGCCTTAGTTATGTGGGAGAAGGGGACAGAGCCTCTAATTCAGACCTGGACCTTTTGAATATATCTGGCCATTTTTTTCTTTATCAAGTTAAAAACTATTTGCATTATGTGTATCTAATATCCATAACAAATAAGAACATATGTGTAAAGCTATTGAGAATCAGTTTAAACTTTATAATCTTTTTGCTGCAAATTTGCATCATCTGTTCTCTATTTTAGGGTTAAGTCATCAAGGCCCCCCATCCATCCATCCATTTTCTGACACACTTAATCCCAAGTGGGGTCACGAGGGCTGCTGGTGCCTATCTCCAGCTATCTACGGGCGAGAGGCAGGGTACACCCTGGACAGGTCGCCAGTCCATCGCAGGGCAACACAGAGACAAACAGGACAAACAATTCTCACACACACACACTCACACCTAAGGAGAATTTAGAGAAGCCAATTAACCTAACAGTCATGTTTTTAGATTGTGGGAGGAAGCCGGAGTACCCAGAGATAACCCACGCATGCTCAGGTAGAATATGGAAACTCCATGCAGAAAGACCCCAGGCCAGGAATCGAAACCCGCAACCTTCTTCCTGCAAGGCAGCAGTGCTACCCACTGCTGCACTGAGCTGCCCCATAAAGGCCCCCCGTTAGACAAAATCTGTCAACAGAGGAAAGTACCACAAGACTTTTACTATTAAGAATCCTTTTCTTTTTTTTCAAACACGTTTCATACATTAATCGCTTTATCTATATTTTACTTTCTTAATGTTATTATACACCAAGTTAAATAGAACAGACCTTTTTTTTTTTTTGTATTTCATTATAGTGTTTTCAAGAAAGCATTGCAGCATTATGGAACGGAGAACAAGCAAGTTAGAGAAAAGCTTCCATTCTGTCAGTGATCAATGGTTACATTTTTACATTTATTGTTGCTGTATGTTAGAGAATTTTTCTAATACTCCTACAGAATTTGCAGGTTATGTATAACTAAAAGATAGATGGTTTATACCTTATGAATCAAAGGACTGGATACGATATTCATTGATATCTAGACCGACCCAGACGGCTCCTGTTTGATTGGTTCTGTTGGGTCCGTCTCAGTGGTATGGAGCATTTTTTTGTGTTTTTTTAGTTGCCCTGAGTCATGTGAAAAGCATGACAACTTTTTTCAGCTCACAATGATCTTTAAATGTGTATCTGAATGCTAAATAAAAAGCTTTCATAGAGGGTCTTATTTCATTTTTTAAACACACCTGTATCCCACACCTAATAATAAAAGGAAAAATAAAGCATTCAGAACAATTATTAGATATAGTTGGGGTCACTTGTATACCTTGGTTTGATATTTTCAAAATTATATATAAAAGGTACATCAAGGGAGAGGAAAAAAGAAAAAAGAAAATAAATCTACATGACTGCAGCATCAAAGTATTCAGTCTGCCAAATAAAAAAAAACTTCCATATAGGCTGTAGAACAGGGGGAACACTTTTTCCAAAACCCAATCTACACCATTTTAAATCATTTATTT